TTTGTTAGAAAGTTGCAATTCTCAATTTACAGTGAAATTCACTTCAATATCTTCATTCAACAGATCAGTCTGGAAAGGTAGCTGTTCACTCTGTTAAGGAAAGGGCAAACAATATCCAATACTTACTATTCTACTATCACACTTACCAAGTTTCCAGTTTTTGAAAAGCTCCATAAATATATGATGAAGGTCAAAGGTTGTAGTTAAGTATTGTGATTGTCACTAAAAGTACCTTCTGAAAACAAATAAATATAATGATTTTTTGCATAGATATTTGAGGTGTTTCCAGATGCATTTACGTGTGTTGAAATACAGAACAATTGACAATGGACAAACAGTAATACTCACATTGGTAGAATCTTCCCGTTGAGCCCATAGGCATATCACAGGTGCCTGATACATTCTGTACCAGGAGGACTTGCTCATAGGTTTGTCAAACTGGTAACTTTTCAGAAAATATATTATTTGGGTTAAGTATTTGAAAATCTGCCATCAGCAGCTCAGGTTACAATACCTGGGTTGACATTTTACTTTCCAGTTAGATGATCTTTATAGTCCTGTTCTAAAATCTGTAGGGACACATCCAAGTTGCTATGCCTTCTTAAGTTTCCTTGGCTTTTTCTTCCTTTATTGTTTTCCCGTTTGCTTGATCTAGTCCTCAAAACAATACAAATGATATACATATAAATGATATACATATACATATACACATATATATATATGTATACACATATTACAGTGACCTTATGAGGTCACTGGGTGAGAGAAGGACAAGAATCTTGTTCCTTGATCAGAAGGCTTGATTTATTGATATAAGATATATAATACATTATAACTATACTAAAAAGAATAAAGAGAGAGCTTGCAGAGACTGCTAAGCTAAAAATAGAATAGAAGGAATGAATAACAAAGTTCTGTGTTCAAGGAATCTCCCCTGAGCTGCTCCTGTGATTGGCCCTTAGTTGGAAACATGCAAGGTGAGCCAATCACAGGATCACCTGCCACATCTCACAACAGCCGATAACAATTTGTTTACATTCTTCTTCTGGGGCCCTTTGCTTCCCAGAAGATGGACAAATCCCAAAGAAAGGATTTCTATGAAGAAATGTCTGTGACATACATATACAAATGATTCTTTAATATTGCACACAAGATGATTTTCAAATTTTCCAATGGCAATACTGAAATGCCATGATAGAATTTGATCATGAACACAGATTAGACATCACCACCACAGGTTTCAGTAAGCTTTTCTTTTAACTGATGTCTGATTAGCACTTAAATTGTTTCACACCATTAGTTACCTAGGATTTTAGTGATCATTAGTGGGTCTGAAATTGAACAAGATAAAAGGAAGCTTTGTTTTCCATTCAGGGGATGGTCTGCTTTTTTCATGCAGGGTCATTTGCCACTGAAGAGGTGTGTGCTGCTAATTAAAGTTTATTTTATGCATAATTGTATTCTGTTATGAATAATAATGGTATGTTCAAGTTAGGCAGGATATTCTTTAGTTTTTCTTAAATATTGAGCACTTAATGGTTTTGTACACCTGCATAAGTTGGATGCAGTTTACTTTGTAATACTATTCTCATTCATTTCTACCATAAGCTGTATTTCAGTGTTTTGGGGATATTTATGTCTACACGGAACATGGATCATCATAAACCTGTACAAAATCGATGGTACTGTTTCCCACTGACTTATATTGCTGGTGCTACTGCATCTGAGCTATGGTGTGGGACACCCTGTATGGAATCAAATCATTGTGAGGTTGTCTAAGGAGTCTATACTGACTTTCAGTTAATATGTAGGACTTCACTGCCAGTATGGAAGGATAGTGATCTTGAAAAATTTTATTTAATATGGATTTTAAATAAGATTAATTTGTTCAATTCCTTAAGGGTGTTGTAATAAAATCAGAAAATTATCTTGAGTCTTGTTCTCGGGCAGAGCTCAATGTATAAAAGAAAACTCAAGACTCTTCCTGAGCATTTCCAGAAGAAGTTAACTGCAGGTCTCAGTGGAAGGATTGTGATACTGGAATAACAACCTCAAACTGGAACCAAAGTGGTGATTAAATATAACCACTGCCTTTTTGAAACAGCACAAGAGAATTTTCTTCAAACAACTACATGTGCTGCACATTAACATAACAGGTACCTTGTGATGTGAAAAGGAGTTTCATTTTGCCATAATGCGTTCTCTTTGTCTTGTCTTGGGTGACCACAATACTATCCCAGAGCCGTTAAAGTTACTTGTTTGTGGCTCTTATTTCAAAGCTTTTAGAGCAGAATATGGTTGTCAACATGCTTGTTCTCACAGGCATATTTTCCATCTGTGATGAAATAGATGCCTGTATATGAATTAGAGCCTTAAGATTGTCTTATTATGCACTACAGCACCACTTCTACATTTCATATCCATAAAAACATAGTGCTATAATTAATTTTCTAGTTACATAAAGATTTGATTTGATTTAAGAAGCTGCAAGTTCTGTGCTGAAGGTTAGACATCTCTATGTAAAGACAATTTTCACTTTCCACTATTGCTTTGATCAGCATTATTGCAAAAATAAAAAATAAAAGGAGCAGAAACAGTATTGTAAAGTGCTTTTTAATTATGGCATATGCCACAGTATCTATTTTGCAATTCACTTTTAATTGCTGAGCAAGGTGCAATAATTAAGTCTTGAATTTGAAGCCCTTAATTTCGTTGTATTGTTTGTTAAGGAGAAAAGGTTATACCACTACAGAGAGTATGAGATTTTCTGCGGTCATGAACGCTATTTTAACTTTAATAACAATTTTGAAGGAGCACTAAATTTTTCAACTTTTTCTCACAGCTGAAACGCTGTCGAATTATTCATTTAACTGTGAATCCATGTCAAAATAACCCTAATTTCTGCTAGCTAAACAAGTACTGGAGGAAAAAGAGAACAGAAATAATAAAAACCTGTTGAAAGTCAAAAGCAAAGGGCAGGTCTCTCTTCCTTCCATCTCCTGAATTTAGTGCCTAACCTTAGGCACTAAATTCAGGAGCTCTGTGTGGTAGTGTTTCTTTGTGAGGCAAGAGACAAACTCATTCATTGGGGGCTCAGTCTTCCTGAAACTTGAATCATTCAATAGAAGCCTGCCTTTCTTTAATTCCCCTAGGAAGGATGGTAATTTTCTAATCAGGAATTTTCAGCCTATTGTGATTTACCACAATAAATTACAGCTGAGCTGCTCCAAAAGCATGTAATTGCTCAATGATTCAATCCTTCTGCCTCTTCTTCTCTGCATTCTTGGATAATGTTTCCTGGGTTTTCACCTGCTGATACTGGAAGTGGTTTGATTCTGAAGTTATTTAGGACACTGAACATTCAATAAATATTTGTACTTTATTTTATTAGGTTTTGGTGCTTTATTAAGTGGTTTCACTGCAAAATACATTTGAGCATCAGAGGTATTTTGTGTCACATGATCAGCTTTTTTATAAACCCTTACTTTAGCTAAAAGGTCAAGAGGATGATACAGGGATGAAATATTGGTTTGTATGAAGGGAATCTGAGGTTTGAAACACTTACATATCCATATAAGCTAATAATGCATTTGAAAGAATCACTGAGGTATGGGAAGAGATAGCATTTTAATAACTAGGGTTTATTATCTCATGTTAAAACTGACAGATATCATTCTCTGGTTATTCCTGATTCATATTTGTTGAGAATGTCTTTTGCAACTATAAAGATGAGAAAAGAGCTTCTTACTTTTAGATGAAGATACAACTGCAAACTTCGACTTGTCATTTTCATAAAGAAATGCCAGTCTGTAGGCTGACACAGGCAAATTATTGTGCCATGTAATTCAAACATGAGTTTCATGTAGGTCATGTAATTTGCTAAATGTTCTGTCAGTTTACTAAATGAACTGGCAATCTATATTCAACTTTTTTTTTTTTGACTACCGTGGACTTGAATAGAAAAGTCAGGAGTTTTGCATTTGCAACAAAGATTGCCATGAAGCCTCTATTCTTGCAATGAATCAAGAATTGTAGAAGCAGAGTATGTATAGAAACTGTCAATTTGATAAGCTGTGTTCACATCTCTGTCTCATATTTCCTCTGTGATTTCACTTTCAAGAACAACTTCCAAACAAATTTGAAATCAAAAGAACATCGTTCAAGCATTCAGTTACACTTAAAATCAAAGACATGCTTTGCATTATTCTGGCATTTAGTATAGCATATTTTAAAGGAACAGAGAATTTTGTCTGAAGATGTCACAGAAGAAGCAGAGATGTTTTTCTGAGTTTGTGAAACACTTGAAAATATTGCCTTGTGTCACAAGGAACTCATTTATTTACAATACTTCCAGGTCAAATTTGTAAAGTCATTGTATTTGGATAGCTTTCATTGAGAAACTCTAATGGCAGTAGAATTGAATCTCAGCCTTTTATATTGATATTGGTCTTTTCTTCCATGTCCAACTCATTACAATTTTTGTAGATCTCTCAGTTGCATTGTGGTGAACACAAACCTTTTGAAAGTGAAATATAAGAGCTCACAGAATGTTATTTTGCTCTGTTACTATTGCTGTTTGTTATTATTTATTATCAGGTTTTATTATTATGACTTAAAAAGTCATCAGGAAGAATTATTTTTGCTGTTAATGCATCCAAATGAGCTAAGTAATACTAATTCTTTTTTTTTTTAATAGCTTCTCTACTTCAGAAAAGATGCTGCTTTTGACAACATGCCTGAGAGTTCTTCAGTGTTATTAGTGTTAATGAAATATTGATGGTTTTATTGTATTACCTCTCCATGAAAAATCAGAATGAAATCCACTTAATGTCTGGTATTCAAAGATAATTTTATTTTCTCCTGTGTTTGCAATTAAAAGTTTCAGGCTCTTTAAATGTTTTTAATACAGATTTATCAAACTAATTGTGGGGTAGTCCCTGCCACAATATATCCAGCAGAGAGGTATTTGCGAGGTTTAAAAGCCAACCAATTTGCCTTTGAAAATGGTCAATGAGAAGCATTTTAATGAATGTATAACCTCAAATATCTAAAATCTCACACTTTGAGGCAATCTATTTCAATTTAGACAGACTATTTAGAATATACAGTATCTGTGAGGATTATTGGTTTTCACTATTGCTATTACTATCAGAAGAACACAAGGAAATTGTGAATTTCTTACTATCTCAAATATTTTCAGGAAAGCTTATTCTAGATACCTTTTGACTTGAGAAGACTCGGCCTGGGTTTGAAACTGAGAGTGTAATACAATATCAAGATCTTTGCACGTCTCTTATGAGCTATAATTTTCTTTGTTGATTTACATAAAGGGCAGTCCTATGGCTTAAACCTTGGAGTGAAGGAGGAGCAAACCATTAGGTGTGTTGAACTTTTCATTTTTAAGTGGGTTTCTGTTTCAAGGACAGCAACCCGCTCCAACTGCATATAGCTTCAAAATCTTCATACAGTAGGCATTCACATCTGACATTAATAGTCATATGTCTTCCTGAATGAGAAACTCTAGAGAATCCTTGCTCCTCCCCACCAATTGCCTTTCCTTCTTGTTCCACTTCTGACCTCTGATAGATTCTTCTGTTTTATCTCCCATTCTGCATCACCTATGTAAAATGGACAACTGTTATTTTTACAAAAAACAGGGACTGCATTAAGTCAGAAATGGAGAATAATCTAGGAAATCAAAAGCAATTTGAATTCATCATAAATGAATCTTTGCATCCAAGAACACCAAAACTAGCTTCAACCTACAGGAATAAAACAATTTGTATGCATTTAAATTATTTTATTCTTCCAGCCTAGTAGTGAGTTGCTAGCTGTGACAAAAAATTCTTGACCACAACTGGAGACAATAAAGCACTTGGATTCCCCCCCCCATACATATATATACACACACATACACATATCTATATAAATTCTTGTCAGAGCAATTGAATTCTGTTTTATTAAGCTGGCCCAAGTCAAGTGTATATATCTCACATTTAGGTCAATAGTGTTCACAGCTTACTTAATGAAAGGGTGTGAAACAGATGTCACAGATGTCAAGAGGATTGAAAAGGCTGGAGGCTTTCTTTCAGTCATGCTTGTAGGATGATATCTTTCTAAGATTTTCCTGAGAAACGACAGAAGAGATTGAGTTTTCCAGAGAACAATCCAAGTAGCCATGGAGTGCTTATCTTAAATTATCCCTTGCCAGCTAAACAACACCATTTGAATCACTAGCTTTATTCCCATTTTTTATAGATTATTACATTAAAAATATATGGCAGAATATTATTTTATTTTACAGTGATCTCTTGTTTGTCTTACCAAGGGTTGACTGTTTTAAACCCATGATATTTGGTGAATCAAACCCCACATTTTTAGATATGTAATCTACCTCAATTCAAATTTACATTTTTAGATATGTAACCTACCTCAGCCAACAGAGTTATGTGAAATACTGAAGGTAGTTTATTGGTGTACCACATTTACACAGGAAAACTACAGCTTCCTAGCAGAAATCTCCTATTTTGACAGCTGGGTCTAGCTTTAGCAAATTGTGAATTGCCCTCATACACAATAAAGTTTCTACACAGCCCCTTTTAATGACTTCTCTTCATTGTCTGAGCAGTAATTTCAAAATCTAATTACAGACTAAATTAAGTTATTTTATTATGGTCTCATCCTTCTCCTCTCACTTACCAAAATCTCCATGCCTTCCCTGCTGACATTTGAAATACAGTTCCACTTTATGGAGGTGAGACCTGTATTTATATCTCCCAGGTGTATGTCTTTTCATTTAACTCTACTGGCATACATGCATGAATGTGTCTTGGCCAATAACCTGACTTCTATAGTTATCACTCCAGCAATGCCTGTAAACATTACGTGTTTTGCCAGTGTTCCTGTTTCCTTTCAGGTTTTCAACATCTGTTGACAAGGTTTTCAGTACATTCAGTCAAAAACAGATCACTGTATAGTAGTGGTAGAAGATCTGTTTATGGTTATTTCTATAGATCTATAATGTAGCTGGGGTTTAGAATATTGAAATTCTATTTTGATTTCATGCTGGCAATACTTTTAATAAAAACTCTGTTTTTTCCCTTCCACACCTTGAATAGGTTTTGTCATATCTGATAGCAAAGCAGATCTGATGAAAATCTCCAAAATCTAATTCTAAGAGGTTGCAAAGCAATGTAAATTTCTGAAGAGCTCTGAACAGAAAGTTCTGCCAAGAAAAGTTACAGACAGTAGCAAAGAAAACTTTGTGGTATTTATGCAGGAAGTTAATTTTTTAATTTATTAAGTAAACTCATTTTAAAGTGGTAAAGCCCAAACATTTGTGGTAAAACTTTCTCTTATGAACAAAAAAAAAATTGTTGCTATGACAACTTAGAATTCTTTAGGCCTTACTGTCTGATGTAACTTTCTAAAGTTAGCCACTTTCACAAATTAAACATTTCAAGTAATAATTTATGACAATCAATCCATGTGTTTCTTGGGGAAAAACCATGCATTTTAAGATTAGAACAAAAATCTTTCTTTAAATTATTTACATCTCATGTAAATGGATACTTTCACAAACATTCATTCAGTTAAATATGTGTACTACTAGTGCAGCTATCACAAGGTTATTTAGAGTTTCATTTTGAAGGGAAAAAACACCCTTGTATTGGAAGGAGCTACTTGGATTTTTGTTTGTTTGGATTTTTTTCTCATTGTTTTTGTAGGGAAAGCACAGAACTATATTGACAATAGGAGAAAAAAAAACCTGAAGCTGAACTTTCACCTAGGGACAGTTCCCAACCTAAAAATATTTTACACATTTCCTGAGAGATATTTTTTGCAACCATATTGACAGACTCTACAGCAAAAGACAGTGATTTGTGTTTGAATTTGCAGGCAGGAAGGAATTTATTTTGAAGCTTTAAGAAAAAGCTATTTCATGACAAAATTTTTAAGGCAGCCTCCACTTTTATCTGGCAGACTGTATATGCTGTCATCATACAAAGGCAGTCTACATAAAAAAAAATATATTTGCTGAACTTTTGTAGGTACTAACAGAAAGAGTGAAACCAATAAAAGTGGTCATTTTAATGGCAAATTCTAAATGTAAGCCTTTTAGAAAGAAAATAATCTAATATGATTGCAAACTTCCCATAAGGTTCTGATAACTGAATTTGGTTTTGCATGCCTTTTATTGTTGTAATGGTTGTCACTGTTAATAAACCTGGCTCAATCTAGTAGATAATAGTGTGACTGTACCATAATGCCTTATACATTTTCCAAGCTGCACATTAAGCTAATAATGTCATACTTCATGCTCTCACACAATGCAGAAAGTTACCAAGAATTTATGCAGAGCTCACAGTTATTTAACAGGCTAACTGGATTATCCAGGAAGGGGAGTCTTTTGTTAGCTGAATTGGTTTGGCCATGTAAGTATTTACAACAGGAGATTCCTGCAGCTGCAAGCATGAGTTTACTGCTGTGTGAGAGAAGGAGAGAGGCTTGCTTAGCCAATTAAGAGATGCAGTGCAGTGATTGCTCCAGGCAGGCAAAATGTCAACATCAATTTCAGGTTCCTCACATTAAACCAATCAGCAATAGACTTTGTTTCAGCTTCTGCTCTCTTGCAGGTTTTTGGTTAAATTAAATTTTATAGACAGGCAAATTGAACTGAGCCCTTCACCATTTTGAAGCAGGTTTTCTGCTTGTGCAAGTGAAGGTTAATAGGAAATGCAAATATCATATGCATACCAATAATTCTTTTAAAATGTTTCACCTTCTGCACTACCCTTCAAGTCAATTTCCTTCCATGTAGAAGTGCTTCACTTTGAGTTCCCTAGAGTTTAGGCATTTGAAAACATATAGGCATCACGAATACAAATTGTATTAAGTATTCCTGTTTTTTTTAAGTGAAACCCAAACAAGATATGTTGTCCAATTTCATTTAGATACAGAGATTTGATGGTGTCTGTAATTTAATCTTGTTTCAAAGCAGCATTCCCTTCCAACACACAGAAGTTATACTTTCCAGCTCTTCTATTAAATTTCTAGTTGCTATAGGGAAACATCTGAGGAAGTGTTCTTCTCAAAAAGTGCTGTAGATATTCCCTTTCTCCTAATATGTATATAATGGGCTTCAAGGGTAATTTCATTATTTTTTTCAGAGAAAGACTACCAAGTACACCTGTTTCACATTTCAAGTGCTTTGTGTGCTTTTGTAGCCCTAATGGTGGTTTCCTCTGAACACAGATTCTGGTTAGGTGGTTCCTAGCTCAGACTTCCATGGTATCCAGAAAGTGTGAGTCCAGCTTTCCAGTGAAAAAAAAGCTGAAGGGAAGATAGTACATTTTTCCACAATTTAGCCCTTAGGTAAATTTTTCCTTCTCTATTAAAGAGACAAGCCTTTCAGGCTGATCTAAAAAATAAATCATTTGGATGAATCTGATCCAGCCATGCAGCAAGGCCATTCTATCCTTGTGGGGGAAAAAAAAAAAAGAAAGAAGATTTATCCGTTATATATTATGACAGTTTCAGGTCTTTGGACTATAATCATCACAACTGCTTGATCAACCCACGGATGGGTGTCCTCAGGAATCTTACCACCAGAATTATGAATGTGATTTATGAGTAATTTTGCATGCCATGGATACAAAAGTTGGGAAGTTGTTTATCTAAACGGGGGTAGCATCACCTTTGTCAGACAGTCCCTAAACACTGTCCAAAACTTCTGGTACTCTTGGAGATGTCATAGGACTGAATTAATTATTCAAAAAGGCTGGGCACAGATTACTGCTGCTTTACACACTTTTTTGTCAGATTCTTTCAGAATCACAACATTTAAAGATTTATTTAGATTTTTCAATGTGATTTGATCAAACACATCATTTGAGCACAAGAGGCTTCCTAGAAGAGAATTTGGTGAATAGACATATATGTTTTTCAGTTCTTAGGGGTTGGTCTACATAAGATTATCTGAAATTTATGTCAGCAAAGTATTCCCAAATGAATGATCATGCAATCTTTGTACAAATGCAGGTCATTTTTTCAGTTTCTGGTGCTATGGCAGTCTGTAGCAGCCTAATGAGAGCTTAATGTTAGCCTTGTCATGTTTTATTCTGTACAGTTGCTACTAAATCCACCAAGATCACATTTGCTGGAGAGAAAAAAAATCTTTGCAAATGTTTTGTTTTCTTGCTTGCAATATGAAAGCAAATAAAAAAAACTTATTTGTGATCAATTGTATGAGTTGCACTTTTTTTTTCCACAGAAGGTAATGCATGCTCTGAAATCTAAGGAGCCTTGGTAATTATCAGATTTTTTTTTTACAGTATTTTGTGATATACAACCTGCATCCTCCATTTACATTTTAACTTCTTGGTGTGAATGCAATGAAAATGTTATTCTCTATTGGTTATCATAACAGTTTTTTCAGTCTAAAGATTTTGAATTGCTCCATGCTCCATGTGTATTAGCTGCTTAATTTCAATGGCTGAATGATTTACCAATCAAAAGTGCCTTATATTTTTCTGCCAGAAGAAAGGCTATGTCAGGGCTTAGAGCTATTTATTGGAAAGATATTTACCTACTTTTAAATGTAATGAAGACTTTCCTTTACAAGATACAGATACATCTAGTTCAAGAAGAAATTCTTGCTTCTTATTTTGTTTTTTTTTTTGAGTTGAGTTTATAATTTCTTAAGAGGAGAAGAAGATGAAAAAAAAAAGCAGACCGGAGAGTTTTAAAGAAATTTTCTCATCAGTTCATGCTTATCTCTTTCTAAGTTTCTCTTTTAGGGAAAGGGTCTGCACTCCAACTAGTCTGAGCTACCCAAGTTCAGGACAAATAAAATATGCAGAAATTCTGGACAAGTTAAAATAATTAACCTTGTTGAGTTAATATGTGAGAACATCTTGATTGTCTGACAGTAAGAACTCCCGGTATGATGATTCTGAGTGCAAAGAGTATAAGATGTTTATCGTTTGGGCTAAGGAAAATGTAATCCTATTCCATTACTCACATTCTGGGAATCAACAGTTCAGAGCCTGTCTTAGGGTCACTTTATGATAGTATTGTATCCCCTGTCGACTACTTTATGCCCAGGAATGGGTCCTGTAGGTTTAAGCTGGGTCCAAGAGAGAAGGGGAAACCGGGGAAATCCTTTCAGCGGTCTGTGTTCAAACACACACCTACTGTGTTCTGTCAGCTGCGCTGTGCAGTGGGAGAGAGTGCATGCTCTGCTTTTGGCCAGCTTCTTTTTGTTAGCTGAGGCAAAAAGTTTTCCTGGGACTGCATACAGCATTTCTCCATTGACTTCTGTGGCTTCTTCTGTAACTGTTCATTTCAACTCCAGTCCGAGAGCAAACCATCACTGGAGCCATAGAGGATGCCCTGGATGCCACATCCCTGCTCCAGACCTCAAGAGAAGCTAGGCATGACTCTAAACCCACCAGCTTTCTCCACAGCAAGAAAGTTCAAATATTAACAGTTATTCTTTTCCTCCTGTGCCTGTGTACACTCTGCTTGTTAAAGAAATAGGTTCTTTTCACTTTCCCCAAAGAAATTCCTTTCTTAGGAGAGGTAGAGATTCGTGGGAGAGGGAGTGCCAAAACCTGCCTTCTTTAGAGAGGACATTCACTCCAGATGTTTCCTCCTCCTGAACTCGTCTCAAACATAGACAAAATCTGTTAAGTTGAACACTGCATCTAAATTATGTTGCTTAAATATGTTGTCCAGCAAT